AAAATAAATTAAATTTATTAATTTACAAAAAAAAAAAAAAAATTAAATTTAGAATCATCTAAACATCATGTTATAATTATGTTAATTGATGCTCTTCGTTCTGATTATGTATTTAATAGAAATAATTCTTCATTTTATTTAAAATCTATTGAAAAATTCGAAGAAAATGGAAAAGCTTTATCATTTAAATTACGTTGTCATACTCCAACAGTAACATTACCTCGATTAAAAGTAATTATTATTTCTATATAATTATTATAAATAAAAATAAAATAGGCATTATTAACAGGTACAATACCATCATTTTGGGATATTATTTATAATTATAATTCAAGTAAACTTGAATTAGATAATATATTAATTCAATATAAAAGAAAATATCCTGAAAATAAAATTGTTTTTTATGGTGATGATACATGGATTAAATTATTTCCAAATGATATTTTTTCTCGATCAAAAGGTCTTCAATCATTTTTTGTTACAGATTTTAAAGAAGTTTGTTTTATTTATCTTCTCTTTCTCTCTGTACAAATATTTATATGAAAATACTTTAGATTGATTTAAATGTAACTGAAGGTCTTTATTCAGAATTAAATCAAATGAATGAATGGAATTTATTAATTGTTCATTATTTAGGTCTTGATCATATAGGTCATGCATATGGAGCTTTTAATAGTTTTATTAAAGATAAATTAAATGAATTTGATAAAATAATTGAAAATATTTATTTAAAATTAAATAAAAATGATATATTAATAATAACAGGTGATCATGGAATGGCAGATAAAGGTGGACATGGAGGTTCATCATTTGTTGAAATAAATGTTCCATCTGTATTTATATCTAATCAATTTAATAATGTTAAACAAATAAATAATAAAGAATATCTTCAAATTGATTTAACCCCAACATTAAGTGGTTTACTTGAAATAAGTATACCTTGGAATAATCTTGGAATATTAATTGAATATGTTTTAGAAAGTTTTTATTCAAAAAAAACAAAATCAAATTTATTAAAATGTTTAATTGATGATAATAGAAGACAATTATTTAATCTATTATCTGATAAAGATTTATCAATATCTTATTCAAATGATCTTAAATTAATTCGTGATAAAGCTATGTCATTATCAAATCAACAAGATTTTATTCAAATTTTATTTAGTATTTTACTTTTCTGTTCTGTAAGTCAATTTATTTATTTTTCTGTTCAAATTAAAAATTAATTTTCTAGAGTACAATTATGTTATGGTTTAATGTTGAAAAAACTTCATTGTTTTCAATTATTGTATTAATCATATATTATTTGATATCTGGAAAAATTCTTCTTAGTTTCTGCATTGGTGCTTTTTGTTTATCTATAATTGTTATTCAAATGAATAAAAGAAAAATTATTGATTATAAAAGAAAAACTGAAAATAATATTTCTGATAGATTTTTAATTTATTATCCATTATTTCATTTAATATCATTATTTTCAAGTAGTTTTATTGAAGAAGAACATCAAATTTGGTATTTTTTCTTATCAACTTATTTATTATTACGAACAATTGAACAAAAATCTTTTCAAACTTTCTTTATGTTAATTTTATCTCGTTTTATACGTTCTTGGAATCAAACTGGAAATAAATGGTTACATTTAACAGATATTGGAGATTATATTAATGCGTAAGAATATTTATTTTCTACATATTTACATAAGTTGAGAATAGATTTTAAAAAATAAACTATTTTTTGCAAAATTATCAATTCTATTTTATATTAATTTTCATTCTTATTATATTCTTCTATTTGTTTGTTGTTTTTTTTTTACATAGGACTGAAAATCGCACTTATTTATTTATAATTCATATAATATCATCAATTATATTTATTTATTTATTAAATAGACCTCGACAATATAAAATATCATTTTTTTTACCAATAATTGTTATCATTTATCGATGGAATTTTATTGGGTATTTATTTTTCTTAATATACTTCTTCAACTGATTAATTGCATTTCAGTTAGAACCAGAATTGTTAATTATAAGGGCAGGAATTAACAGTTTTATCTTCAAAATGTTTGAATTTCTGACAATTCGAATTTTGAAACATAATTTGCTTTTCTTTGATCAAAACTTCAATAAAAATAAGTAGACAATGTTGTTGTGAGTCGAATAGAAATAGTCTGATGGCAAAGTCGTCCGTTGTTGATGAAATCGAATCACAATGGATTTTATTTTCCTTCTCGTTTAGTGATTATTTCTAGCACTCAGATAATAAAATCACTTTTGTGCTGATTTTTTAAAATTCTCTTCTATCTCTAAAACTATCGACAATCCTAGTTGAGACAGTATGTACCATATATACCTAAATAACTTATGAATATTCTGAAAATATTTTGTGCTTTTAGCTTATTGATATGGAGATAGTCGAACAAAATGATATTTTTTAAGCACGAACTCTTTGTCCTATTGAGGAACATTGGAAAAACTAATTTTCGAATATCAATTAGAAATTTATTAGAGAGATAAATTATAAACATTATAGTTAATTCTGAACATTAAAGATATGTTATTATTATTTGATAACATCAAATCTACGGTTGTAAATTACATTCTTTTATCATAGTTATATTTCGAAATAGGAACAATGAAAACATGTGAAACTTAAATAATAAACAATTCTCTTTCAGTTTTATCTCTGAATAAAATCGCTATCAAATAAGGTAAGAGTATGGATTTATTGTTTTGTGAGAATATTCATAAGTTATTTGGATGAACATGTAATATATAATCTGAAGTTAAAATCGATAAATGAGTTGTTCGATTTTTCTTATTATTTAATTATTTATTTTTGTTTTGTTTTGTTTTGTTTTGTTTAGTTATTTATCTCGCTTAACACCATTATTATATTATGTTTTATTAATAATGTTAATTATTGTTAATAGATTGTCAATAGAAAAATTGTTATTTTGTTTATTATATATATTATGTCGTACACATAATTGTGTAATAATAATTGTTCATATGATATTTAATATATTTATAAATGAAAATGATGCTCATATATTATTTTTATTTAGTCAATCAGCATTTTTTCATCTAGTTTGTATTTAAATAAATATTCAATTTAAATAATTTAAAATTTCTATATTTATTTAAAGGGAAATTCAAATTCATTTGTAACAATCGATATATCAAGTGGTTTTGTTGGTATTCCAATATATATTCCAATAATTCATGGAATATTTATTTATTTATCAACATATGGTTTATCAATTATTTGGTTATTTAAATTATCAAAATCTGAATTAAATCGTTATTTAATTAAAATAACATTGATAAATAGTACATTTTCATTGTGTATTTTAATTCAACGTTATCATTTATTTGTTTGGACTGTTTTTGCTCCGAAACTTTTTTATTTATGTGCTCAAACAGCTTTTAACTTATTTCTTTTTATTATGATAAAATAAAGTTTTCGTTTTCGTTTTTGTTTTCGTTTTCGTTTTCGTTTTGGTATAGAAAACAATCACTTGAAATCTCTCGATGTGCCTTAGGTGGTCAACAATCATCTATAATAATAAATATCTATGTCATAATTTATTGAAAATTTCCTATTTGAATTGAAAAGAAAAGAAAAGAAAAAAAAAAAAAACTAGAAAAACTTATTCATTTTAATATTTAATGTCGTCTACATTGGATACAGCATTAAGTGTTGGCAATATAATTGGTATAGTTATTGGTATAATAGCAGCTATTGCAACAGTTATTTTTTTAATAATTATGATTTATTATTGTTGTAAAAATAAAAATCGAAATGATGTATGGTCAGAATCATCACCACCACCACCACCTTATAATTATTATAATCGATCTTATGGACAACCTACTAATACAACTTATTATAATTAAGATTAATAATAAATCACGATTATTATCAATTTATTTTTATGAGAAAAATTTAAAGAAAAAATATTTTCAATCAATCAATCACTTTTATCAATAAGACCTAATGGATTATCAGTTTATCAATCATAATTATTCAAAAACTGACTTTCATTTTAATTCTCCTAAGTCTTTTCGATAAAATTGGTTTTCTAGAATAGAAAACATTTTGTTATTGAATCAACATCTCAAGTAAATTAACTTGTTTATAAGATAATAATCTTGAAGATTTTTTTCAAATTAATATATAAATCTGTATATCTGTTGTACGAATTAAAATGTTAACATATTCTACAAAAAAAAAGAAACAAATTGAAAAAAAAAAGTAACTATTATTTATAGAATTCTATTTTGTTTAAAATCTGAATATACATAAACAAGAAGAAAATTATTCGATAAATTTTAGTTAGTAAGTAAAATGAGTATATGAAAAGCAAAAGTAAATAGTGCTTGTCATATATTCTGAATGATGATGATGAATAAACGAATAGATTCAGTTAAAAAACAAAAAAAGAAAATGATGATTTAAAAAATAAATTCTCGTTAATATAATATTTGATTAAATGAAAAATAAAAACGATAAATAGTTAATTATATTGACAATAATAATAATGGACGGACATATAAAAACGAAAACGAAAACGAAAAAAAGAAAAAAAAAATAAATAAATGAAAGGCACTCTTTTATAAATATCGATGATTAGCCAAAGGAATATGAAGACGTTTACCAGAAATAATTGGTGGTAATAATTCCATAGTTGTTGTTGTTGTTGTTGGAATTGTTGTTCGATGAATTCCAGTTTTTGATGATGATCGATTATTGAATGGAACTTTTCGAATATTTTGTATTGTTTGATTTTGTTCATTTTGTTTTGTTAAATTTTCATTTGATAAAAAATTTTCAACTGAAGAAGAATTTGTTGTTTCTAAATTTCTTCTAAGAACAACTTTTTGTTGTTGTTGATATTGAAAAGTTGATGGAGGAAGAGGAGCTAAACAAATTTATCGTTTTTTGTTTTTGTTTTTTAATTAAAAAAAAAAAAACAGAAAAAACGTAATCACCTGGTTGAGTTGAAGGTCTACTAGTTGAAGTAGATGATGAATCATTATCTTGATTAAAATTTTTTTGTTGAGCCATTTTTTCAAGTGAAACACTTGAAAAATTTTTTTGTGAAGATAAATCAACTGGTGTTACAGTTAAACCAAATGTTGATCTTTGATGAAATATTAATGGAGATGTTTGATTTGGTTTTATTTGTTGAAATGGTAAGGATGATGAATTTAATTCTTCAATTAATTTTGAATCTGTTCGATTTTGTTGTTTTATTTCAACTGAAGGAACATTTATTAATGTTCGAGTTCCATTTAATGTTGATGCACCACGTGTTAATAATGATGTTAAATGTTCTTTTAATAAACTTTTTAATGTATCTTGATTTAATGATGGATTTATTTGTTGTTGTTGTTGTTGTTGTTGAGGAGGTGATGGAGATTTACTTGTTATATGACGAAGTGGAAAACGAATTTCATTTGTTTGTGATGATTCAATGTAAGTAGCTTAATAAACAAAGATTCATTTAAATTAAAAAGAAAAAAAAAACTAACTAACATTGTCGAAAAGTATTTGTTGGAACAGGTGGTATTGGATTTTCAATAATAAACTTTTGATCTGACAAATTATTTTCAATTAAAAGATCTTTTTCTTTTTTTAATAATTGTCGAATTCTTTCAGGAGTAAAATGATTATTTGTTATTTTAGAATTTAAATGAAGACCTTTTAATGATATTGGAGCAGAATTTGGTTTTTCATGACGAGGTAAATAAAGTCCAATATCATTATGAAAATCTAAATGACGACGAGATAAATCATTTTTTGTATTTGAATTTTCAATAGATGACCATATATCAAGACCATCAGCCCATTCAGGTCTATGAGAAAAACGTGAAAAAGATTTAAATGGACTATTTGATAATTCAATTAAATGTCTTGTTAATGATCGATCAATTGATGGACAACAATAACGAACAGAAGATGAACATTCTTCAAATTCCGATAAACCCATCTTTTTATTTTGATTAACAACAAAAAAATATTTTTTTTCTTTTCTTTTCTTTTCTTTTCTTTTCTTTTCTTTTTATTATTTTTAACAGTTTTTTTTATAGAACTATTGGAGTTACTATTTTAACCAATAAGAATAAAGAGGTATCAACACAACACTAACAGTATGAGTTTTTTTTTTTTTTTTTTTTTTTTCATAACAACTATTTATTATTTCTAAAGATTTTAAATAAAATCTTAAGAATAATTCTTATTGAGGATCAATATGACAAAAACATTACTGCGAATAAAAAAGTTTAATCAAATAAATCATTTAAAATTGTTAATACTAAAATAAATATTGAAAATTTTCAAGTAAATGAGAATAAATATATATGACAATAACGATTATTTATTATTTATTTAAAAATCATATCATTAAATTACATTTAATATTCAAAGGATTAGGAATATTTATTTGTAATTTAATTTATTCAACTATTATTCACTTTTCATAAGCTAAAACATTGATTATCTCGAGTAGAAAATAACAATCGATTTATTTCATTTAAAATTTATCGTTTATTTTATATCATCAATTTCAATGTACTGAATCGGATTAATTCGATGATTGTCATTAATCGAATCTTAAATAAAATAAAATATTTTCAAAATATGTTGCGTATTTCCAAAAATTGTTTTTATCGAGAATCCTATAGAATTGTTACATTTGTTAAAAAATTTTTTCTATGAACAAAAAATATATATAAAGCAAAATAAAGACAATATAAGATTGTTATCATATTGAACAACTTTTTCTGGTACTCGAAATATGCTTATTGATTAAGGTCTTCAAAAAATTAATTCAATGCAATTAGATAAATAATCCATAGACTCAACTGACTCAAAAGTCGACAATCGATGGGTTTGCCTTGTTCGACTTAGCGCATGATCGATTAAGAACCTCTGATTTATATAGATCATTTTTTATAAATAAACAAGAGAAAATATTATTATTGATGAACACTATTCGAATTCTTTTAAAAAATACATAATTCTCTACTTTTTAACATTTGTTTTATTTAAAACAATAAATTTTGTATAATGATACATTATGATAAGAAAAATTGAATTAAAAAGCTTGTTAGCGCAGCCCCTTTGGGACTGAAATGTGGAACTCACATATGCTCTCGAGCTTCATTTAACTAATACAAAATACGTAAACTGAAAAATCTCTCTTAAACTATAGTTGTTTTGCAGGATAATCAATGACAAGAGTAAGAATCTCTCTAATTTCTGCATTTCGAACAGATTTTTTTAAAACTTTTTTCAATGGGCGCCCTATTTTTTGTTTTTATTGTTGCTATTCGCTCATTATTTTTTTTATTTTTTTGTTAATTAGTTTTTCTTAATGTTATCATTCTTATTATTATAATAATTGAATTGATTGACAAATAAGTGTGTTTTACATATCTATGATATATACAGCAGATCTTACACACTATCATATATATTAATCAAGTCACAAATAATGATATTCATTAGTTTTCAAAATTATAACTTGATCAATTTTCCTAAGAAACAAAGAAAACTCTAGAAAATCTAACATCTTTTATTATTGATTGCTAACGAGGGAACCACCCGAGGTGACATCCTCCGTTTTGACTCATTTATATTTCATTCGATAGAGTGTATTGAGATAGTCAAAGGACTGAGAGAATTTTTCCCCATGGCTCTTTCTTCAAAAGTTATGGTGCGTTTTATTGAATATTCGACCCATTCCCGGACATTTGCGAAAACATCAAAATAGGGAATTTCGACTTGACATTTCNCGATCTTTCCCCTATATATACTATCGAAATGTAATGTTCTAGAACGTGACGTCATAAAATGTCACATGGGAGAGAAATCAAAAACATGGAAAGTTCCAGAATACACTCAAATGTTAGACAAGGGACAGTGAAATATCCTTGTTGTCATTGTAGTACAGTGCTTCTCTAAGAGAATGTCAGGATTAAATCCAAGATAGACTTGTTATATGTATAATTATAGATGAGATATTTTACTAACTATTCATGCAATAAAACTTTCAAAACTGAGTATTTTAATGAATTTAAAACTCCATGGCCAGAACTTTTGGACCACCCTAAGTATATATTTTCTCTCTTTTTCATGCATATGATTTACTTAGGTCATTCATACATTTGAAAATAGCTTAGGATAGTATTGATATTAGACTTTAACACTTATTAATATGCAGTAATGAAACATGATTGTATTTATAGAATACACGAAGAAATATATGGCGAACGGTCAGAATTAATTTACATTAGTCTGATATTTAGTTTATTTTATAGACGTTTCCAGGACAGTCTAAAAGGTATTAAATATCTTTTCAATGGCGTAAACTGCTTATCAGAATATCCTGTATTTATTAAGACCACGCAACATCCAATAAACACCACAAAAACATCGAGAATAGATATATTTATAGATATGAAGAAGACTTTTTAAGGATGCTTTTTTCCATGAAAGGTGCATCAGCAAAACAATTTATTGTTGCTAGAGAAATCCGGAGAAGCAATAAGAATTTACAGGTTCTCCCAATTTTTTTTGTTCTCTAGAGTGTACATATATGTAGCAGTGTTTATATTCAGGTATAGCTTTGTTAATCATGCAGAAAAACTGATACGCAGCATACTTGCTGCACATGCAAAGCAATTCGTGTTCATTACTTTTTCTGATGGATTCCTCCTATATACATAAATATATATATAAACTCAACGAAAGTAAATACAACAGTATCCTTATTGATAGTGGATTTGTTGGATGATGTAATCGTACATACAATCAAGAAGGATTGGCTAAGGTATGGGACAGTATACTGCGATGTTGATTTCCTTCATTATATTCACTCTGTTTCTTAGGAAAGAACCTCATCTCATTGTTTATCAGGATAAAATGTTATCTCGAAAGAGTACAGATGATCATCTTGGAATTTAATCCTTTCGTTTAGATTTCCAATAGGATTGATTTCACTAGTAAATCTATCTTCGTCTATAACAAGAGAAGAATCAATTTTTCATTTCATTTTCAAACTATTTTTATTTACATCTATTCGTTGTAAGAGTTAATTTTATTCTATCTGATAGTTTTGTTTAAAAAAAAACAACATACTTGCTGGATTAACAGGACGACCATTAAATATAAGACGATAATTAGTCATAATTAAAGCACCTTCAGCTGGCAATAAAAGGATTTTCTGCAATAAAAAATTCAACTCTTCCATCAGGTAATAAATAAGCACATAGAGCAATTGATTCTTCATGTTCAAATAATTCTGGTATTATAACAAAACGTGATAATAATGGTTTAGGTGTTGGTGCAACTCGTCGTGTTTCACGATAAACTTTTTCAAGAACTTCAATTTGAATTTGGGTGTGGGTGTGGGTGTGAGTGTGGGTGTGGGTGTGGATGTGGGTGTGGGTGTGGGTGGGTGTGAGTGTGAGTGTGGGTGTGGGTGTGTTCACCTATCAACACCCCCACCCACACCCTTCAAAGCACTACGAGATCGTTCGCTCGTCATGACCAAAGAAACTTGCACGGGCGGCAAACAATCTAAAGAACGTTTTACCTAATAGAAGATGTGAGTAGCTATGAGTATAGCATATTAACTATGCGCTGTATACATGCAACAGTTCAGTCAATGCAAAACCTCTACACAATGAACACCTTCTTTAATGAACACTTTGTCGTAGGTCCCGTTACTATTCATTATAGGGAGGTTTTACTGTATTTTTTCTCGATGGCTGTTTCAGAAAGCGAAGGATAAACGAAACAACAAAAAGGCCATTTTTTTATTTCTCCAACATTTAAGATAAAAGATTTTTGTTAAAAGAGATTTCTTATCTCGTTTATGTCTACTTATTATTCTGTTCTTTGTCCTTGTCAGAGCACCTGCACAATACTCTTGAAAGTCCAAAGGTATAGTTTTACAACCAGCGCAAGCACGTCTCTTCTATTTACTGCTTTTCAACAATCTTGTTTTATCAGTATCATTGCCTATGCTTCTCCATCTTAATAACTTAAATGAAAGATTAAGTTATACATTTGGATACAAATATGTGAAACAATGGATGCAAATTCTCAAGAGTGGGGTATAGATGCATTTATTCCGTATTATCGCAACTCGCTTTGCAATTTACAGACAGTTAACAATGATCTATTGGCAACAATTCTTCAGAAGAATCATTCTTGTACTTTTTTCAAAGATAGATCGATTTCATTCTTGTCAACAAATGATACTGCTGGAGAAAGAGAATATAAATCAGTCGATGAATTTCGAGAAAAAGTTCCATTGACAACATATGAAGACTATCGTGATTATGCAAATCGAATGGTTGTTGATGGAGAAAAGAATCTGCTCTGTATCGAAAATATCCTTTATTTTGCAGCTAGTACCGGAACGACCGGAAAGTTCAAGCTTATTCCTGTAACTCCACCGATGATAAGAACAGTTAATGAAACCGCACACCTAGCATCTTCTGTTATTCGGAAATCGTTTTCTTTTTCATTGTCTTCTGTTCCTGAACAACATCCTTTCACCTTGCTAGGCGGAAAAAACACAGGACTGTATCAAAGATCAACAGATGACATTCCAATTGGTCCTTTGAGTCAATATTTTTCTGCTAATCCAACAATTCCTCGAACTCGATCATTGTTGTCTATTAATAATACCCTAACATTGAATATAATTGAAGGAATTCATGATTTTGATACAAGTGCATATGTTCAACTCGTTTTTGCATTGGCGATTCCGAATGTGTCCTCCTATACGGTTTATTTTGCGTCAGGATTCATTCATACTATCAAATTAATCGAAAATTATTTTCAAGAAATGAGTCTTTGTATTTCTTCTGCTAATTTCGATCAAAGTTCACTCGTTCAAAAGAATATTGTGGATTCAAACTTTCGAGCAACCTTAAATCAAACATTGAACGAAGTGATTGCTCAATATGGAGGAGAGATATATCGATTGGAACGAGCTGAACATATTCGACATGAATGTCTCAAAAAAAATGTTCCAGGACTCCTGCATCGTCTTTGGCCAAATATGATTTATGCTTCTACGACTATAGGAAGTACATTTTCAATGTACAAAGAAGTCGTTCAATATTATTGTGGAGAAAGGCTAACTCTGATTAATTTACCTGTCTACGGTGCAAGTGAAAGCTTCTTTGGATGTATTGCAAGTATTCACACTGATGAGTACTTTCTATTACCAACATCCGTATTTTTTGAATTTATCGAAGAAGAAGATATTCAACAAGTAAGTCTCCTGAAAAAACTTGTAATCAAACTGCAGATTTAGCATCCAAAAAACAATTTACCTAGAATTCCGTTAGCTGTAAAGTCAGTATTGAATGCTGACTGTGTTTTAGGAGTTTATTTTGTACTTAATAGCAATTTAATTTTTCAGACCTTGGTTCTCCTGATATCGAAAAACATTTCTTATCACCGATCAAATTGAAGTCTATATAGTTGGACGGAACTGAGTGCGCTTAGTGCGAAAATCACATTTTAATCTTAAGTATTTTCTGATAGCTGTGGAAATCAGTTCTAGGATCATTTGACGGGGATTTTTATTCTCCACCATAATCTATAAGAACTTCTTGAACATTTCAATCTTTTTCTAATGATATAGGCCAGATACCGCCCCGATTGGATCGGTTTGCTACAAACAATTGTTTTTTTCAGTCTTATGAAGTTGTATTTTATACAGGTGCACGAACGAGATTTTTTTTAATGAATGCGTAACTCGTTATGTTCTTTATGATGAAATTATTTTTAGTTGAACATTCGATGTGTGAATGTCGACTCTGTGCTCAAAACCATGTTTTCTAGAGTTTGATATGAGTCGAAATAATTTCGTATTAGCCACTTCAAAGCAAAAGAAATATGTTCTGGATCATAATTCCTTCAATCTGATATAGAGTGTAAACTTATTTATACATTTACATGTTTCTTTCTCTTTGAGTTGACTAATATGGTTCTCTTTCGACTCATACCAAAATGTAGAAAACGCAATTTTCAGCCCAAAATCGATCTTTAAACATCGAATTTTAAACTGGATATAATTTCATCAAAAAATAGCACAGTGACTTACATATTTAGTAAAACAATCTCGCTCGTGCATTCATGTAAACTACAACTTCATAAGACCAAAAAAACTATTCTTTGTAGCAATATGACTCAATTGGATGGTACTTGGCCTATATCGCTAGAAAAACATTGAAATATCCCAGAAGTTGTTACAGATTTTGATAGAAAATAAAAATCTGTGTCGAATGAATTTGTGTGCCGCATCTAAGTTGAATTTTCATCTACTTTTCGATCAAAAACTGCATTTCGGAGCTGGCAAAAAAATGCTTAAGATCTTTTTTATTATTATTGAAGTGCCTTTGAAAAACTGTGTCTTTCAAAACCAGCATACTCAGCTCTATCGAACCCTATAGACTTCAAATACAACGACGGTAAAAATGTTTTTCGGTGCCTGGGGAACTGCAGACCTCAAAATAATCAGAATTCAGTTCTGATTCGAAGGCTAATGAAATTATAGATCAATTTTTTGGGATGCCAAGTTAGTAATTTGACAAATCTTCTTTGACAGACAAGTCAAATTTTCACTAGTGACTTTTTATACATGTTTGCAAACAGTATCGATCCAGTTGAGTAATAGAGTCTGCTGTTCAAGTTGAAAGCTTATTTTCTTTTGAAGAACAACAAAGAAAATTTTGGGAGCCAGTTTTATTCCTCAAATTACTACGTTTTTTTGAAAAACTACGAATGTAATAAGTTACTTTCTATGAACTTCTAAGAATGTCGACTCGTTTTTCACAGTTTTTGCCTACAAACAAACAACGACAATAACTACTTCATAAAAAATATTTCGTACTCAGTTTTGTGTACGAAACAAAATAATTAGTACTAACTAAAACATTCAAAGTTTTTCATAAAGTAGAACCTGTGAGACAATGTGGATTTCGTGAGCTTCTTCAGAAGAAATTTTCTTTTCAATTAAAAAATAACATATGTTTACACACACAGATGTGTACTCTTTTCAATCATCTACAAAAATTCGAAAATAAAAATTTTACTTAAAGTTCAAATTGTATGATTCTTATGGTGTTCGCTGAACTTTTGTATCGCACTTCATTCAACCATTTTATTATGTAGTTGCTTTTCTAATTCTTATACAGGCTCAACCGAAAACTCTTCTTCTCTCAGAGCTTGAACCAGGACATCGATACGAAGTGGTTTGTACAACTGACGGTGGATTGGTTCGATATAGAATGGGAGATGTCATCAATTGCACAAGATTTTTTTCTCGAGTCAATGATTTGGTCCCATTACCAGAAGAACCAGTCGACATTCCTCAAATTCCTCTCATTTCGTTGGCATATCGTGTTGGAAACGTTTTAGGTATATTTGGTGAGAAAGTAACTGAACAACACATGATGAATGCTCTTCAACAAACAATTCGTCAATGGAGAGAACAAGAACTACCGGTTGATCTGCATGATTTTACATCGTGTTCGAAATTAGATGTATTTCCAGCGAAATTTGTCATCTTTGTGGAATTGACTGAAGATCAAGGATGCAAAATTGATGCGCAACAACTTCGAATTCTTCAGAATACCGCCAGTGCGGAAGTCGATCAACAACTTTGCAAAACGAACCAAGGTTATTCAAATGGTCGAAGTGCAGCAAGACTTGATTCACTTGATTGTATTTTTGTTCGAACTGGAACATTCTCGACATTTGTGGCCAAATTCTTGATGACCGATCGTACGAGTCCTGTGCAAATCAAACCTAATCGAATACTGAAGAATGAAGATCACATTCGATTCTTTTATGACAATCAAATTGATATATCATCGCCGTAATTATCATGTATTTTTTTGTAATGACATTGACCATTGAAATAATATTCATTTGGCATGCTATCTATTTAGTTTTTTGGTTTGATTAACGGCTTTTTTTAATTAATAAATATATGCTTAATCTTTACTCTAATTTCATCAAAATGGAAGAATACATTGTAATGTGAATGGTCTGGTAATAAGACTAAAGAAGTTACCATTTAAGATTTCATAGTTTCTTTCATTGTAATTATTAAAAGATTATAGGTAGAAAATGACTAGGTATGTTTCGGTATTGCTAAGGACACTTTCGTGTAGGGGTGTCGTTCTTCAGGCGGACGTTTTGATTTTATTTTACTGGTAAGTATTAAGTACTTCAGCACACTTGAATAGCTGTCTCAGATCAGTTTTAAATGATTTTTTTTCTAATTGGGTTCTCAATCGTTTGCAGATGTTGGCTGCAGATAAGTTTTTAACGGACAATCGTGACATATTTTTGGGCCTACGAAACTTGTGCACTGCAAGAGGCGCACGCACAACTTGCGCACGGATCATTTGCGAACGAGATGAAAATTCATAGTAATTATTATTGATACTTCGAAAGACAGTGAGTACAAAGAGATAACAGAAGAAATAAAATTGCTGTATTTATTTCAAGATCATAAATACAACAATTAAGTATGTAAACAGAGCAAGAAAAAAAATTATAGAACAATATTATGGGCTATAGCATTAATTTGATCAATATTATTTTGATGAGGATTAGAAACAAGATTAAATAATCGTTGATCAAGATATTGATACTTCTTTTTTTTTATTAACTGGTTCGCCAGCATTAGGCTCGAACGATCTTGGTATGAATATTCGAATCTTCTTCTAATATAATTTTTTCAATAAATTTCCATAGTGTCGGGTGTGAGCATTGAAAAACACATTCGAAAATCAGAAAATTATTCATATATAAAAATTCGCTCTTTATTTTATATTTATAAACCTACTGATGCGTCTGTTCCAGGCCTCTGCTGAATTGTTAGTTCGCATCTGTTGATTTTAGGTTCGTTCATAAACATTCCAATATCCAATAGCAAATAGTGGTCGTGTACGTGATCCATTTCCTCGAAAACGACCGATGTAATTATCTTAAAAATAGTCCAATATAGATTGAAATGTATCATCCAGATGAATACTAAGATCTGTAAATGTATTAATAATATTATCTGGATGAATAAATACCAGTGCTGCAATTTTATGTATACCATGAGCAAAATCAATATTTTCTTCATATTGCTTTTGTAAACCTTGTGTCTAAAATAAATAATATATAATATTATCAGAACCACATAATTTATTTATTTTACTATGACATNACTGGCAACATTCTTTCACCATCGTTAAACAACTTGATGACAATGACGTCGTATGATATGGAAATACTCATTCTCACGTACATGAATAGCAACTCAACTCGAATACTCGTTCACTTTGTTTATATAAATTTTATTTCGACCTATTTCATGACAATGATTGGGATAATATTATTCATAAATCAACTCCGTTTTTCCGATCATATTATTAACAGATCAATGAATCACGACGAAATTGCTAGACATAAGCTTAATCATATTATTGCTTTAGTCAAAGGAGAATTAGTAATATTTTGCTTCGATGTTTTGTCTGCTTTTCTCTACCATTGGTTACGGCTAAAGAAGAGCTACTATAGCATTACTTGGATATATTTCATACGTTGGTCAATTGAAGCAACTTGTGTTCCATTCATTATTTTTGTATATTATACCAAATTTATGGGCACGTGGCTGATGGAATGCGAACCAGGTGCACATATGATTGGTGCCATCATGCTAAAGGTGTGCTTATTCTTTGTAACACGATATACTGAAACAGAGCCTGGCGCAGCACTGAACAAGCTTCGAGCTGCCTCTTTTTATGTATTTTGCAATTCGTCTGACTATGACATCCTTGATAGTAATTCTTTCGTTTTCGTTCAGTAGCTCATTAACATCGACTTTGTATTGTTTCTTTCATGCCTTACTTATACCATGTTCTATCGGATATATAATGTCACTTTTTTAAAATCAATGTTTGCATAAAAATTCGAACTATGTCTTCTAAAGACTTAAAAAATTTGTTTCATGTTTTTTTAAAGTTTAAAACAAGTTGAATACTTGCGCACATGCTAAACAATTCAAAATTTATTCTGAAAAACATGTAAGCGAAGAAAAAAGTTCATATCTTGTTTAAAAAATCAAATTTTATTTTAATAAATAAAAAATAAATGAGAAATATTCTATCTAGCGTGATAAACGACTACTGATGAATGAAACTGTTTTCAATTAACTGAGCATACATTCCACACATTATCTTTTGAACATTGATATCTGTTGAATTTATTAAGTTTAACTATATAAAAGCGAATAATTCTTGTTTCATAAATAAAGCTTCTTAATTTTTCTATATAATTCTTGAAAAAAACTTCTTACTAATTGTCCTCTTTGTATAGATTTATAAAGTTGTATTCATCCTATTTGCCTTAAAATTTTGAATTATAATTAGCCTGAAAATGAGTTGCAATAGTTATAATACATATTATCTTACGTTAATCATGGAAAACATGATGCATATGATGGTGTACTTTCCTTACTTTGGCCTATTGCTCATTTCGAAATAGGATATATGATTGCTTCTTTTAATAGTTGGAGAATAGAGAGAGTGCTAACTTAAAAATAAATAAAGTTCAAGTGTTTTTTACATAAAACAAACGCTTATTTTATGAAAACAACGTTTCTTTTAAGAAACTTGACTAAATGTTTGTGGACTGAGTTATTTCAATTTTGATTTGTTTTTCTCGAAATCTTGAAATGTGATTTTCGACCAAAGAAGACTTATTTTTCGAAAATAATAATTTTTACGAAAACATGACGAACTGTGTTACAGTGTGAGGCTATCAGACCTAAAACAATGGAGCTCTAAACTTTCGGAAAACCATTCTATATTAAGATTCTTCGACTCGAAAAACGTCTGATCTAGTTTTATGAAGAACTACTATTTTCATGAAGAAGACCTTCCTTGATGAAAAAACCTACTTTAACTTTGTCTTTTTTAAAGTTAAAGTTTAAAGCAGAATGAGGGATGTCATAATAACCGGAACTTGGGTATTGAGATTCTGACACATCGATATATCCTAGAATAGCGAGGAAATTGAGTGAATTTGGTGTAACGAGATGGATGGGGTGGGTGTGGGTGTTAGTGTGAGTGGGGTTCCGGAAGCATACAGACTCATATGCATATACTCACATCGCCACCCACGGCGCACCCACACTAAATGCTGTGCTGTGTGTTTACTGTCCCGTGTGTGAATCCTTTCGTGGCACCCACACCAGATGCTGTGGCTTCTGTGCATTGTCGCGTGTGTGAGTTTGTTGGCGACACCCATACAAAGTGCGATGTCGTGCGTGTGTTGTCCCATGTGACCGTGCTTCGGCTGCACCCACACACCCACTCGCGAGTTTCCCTCTAAGATCATGACAGAAGATAAGAACTATAATAAGCTGGATAGTTTTGAAAGATCTAAATGACAATAGTTCAAAGTGAAAAAATAGGCAAATATCATAAACCATTGAATGCGCCAATGAGTAAGGCTTCGTGAGTCGTTAAAATCGAATCTTTTGAAGATTGAACCCGCAAGATGGCAGCTGAAGCGATACAGAACAGAGCATAACGAGAATAGGAAACACTTTGAAAAGATGGATAAAAGTTTTGGTACAACAAAATGAAAAATCTGTTATCGAATATATTTTCTTAGCGAAGAGAAATATAATAAGCTACTGTGTTGCCATTTGATACGATTCTCTGTACTTTGTCATGTATTCCTTTTAGTATTCAATACAAGCGAAAGTATTGCAGAATGATGCAACGTTAGACTGCATCACAAGTCACATAGTTGCTTCTAATTCACTCAAAATCCTCACCTTTTAAAAATAGGGTATCCATGTTTTTGGCTATCCGCTTCAATTGATATCGTGACTAGTAACTCGCCGATACCCAGCTTTTGGATATTATGATGCCTCTGCTATTTTTAGATGAAGTGTGAAGGATCATAAATTCATACTGCTTGTAACTAACTATTTGTTTAAATCAAGGCAACCATACGACTGGATTCATACAAAAGATGAAAATATCAACTGAGCCGATTTAGTCACTCGCTTGTGTATTGTTAACCTGCGTGTCCTATCACTTCTCTTTCACATTCACATCTACCTAACATTATCATGCAATGTATATAATCTAGATGGTTATCTTTTATCCATTCAAACTCATCTATCCACTTTAACACGTACGTTCCTTTCTCTCTCTGTTCCTTTTTCTCTGCCTCTTTCTCTTCGGTTAATTAACTTGCTCCTTGCGGGGAGATGAGAACTATAAAAGCATGAAACAGATTGAAATAAAGTCAGTCGATAAGACAATATAATTTTGTCACTACATGATGACCCTGACAAACGAAATCTTACACTTCTGATCGAAAAACGACAAGATCAAGAGATTAATTATGACCTCTGAACAAGTTACTGTTGGACAAGCTATCCAAAAATTATCTGAAGCTAATAATAGCAACAATGCACGGCTGGCTGACCTAGAAAATAAATTGGCAGAAATACATCTTAACATAGTCGAACAACACAAGAATGCAACCGATAACCTATCAAATAAAATTATTAATTTACAAGAGACGATGACAAATCAAATTGAATCGATTCAAACATGGGTATACGAGCGGCAAGATACAACTATATCAAAACTGCAAGAACAGCAACAACAATGGAATAATTTGACAAACAATGTTCGTAATATGCAAGCTGGCATAAAAAAGATTTGCGGAGCACTTGCAATGAATCAAACCATAACAAATTACAACAATCAAGTTATTGAAAATAAATCCGTTACATCTCATATCAATCAAAACTCATCAACAATCAAACGAATTATTTGATCCTACTCAATCTATTCAATATAGCACGTCGCAGCGGATACATCACGCTGAAACTAATTCACGTCAAAGATCATCCATTGAGTGTACAACACAACCAACACAAATCGTTGTTATTCCAGCAATATCATCGATACATCTTCGAAAATTCTCGTCAATTTCTTATTCGAGTAAAAGAAAACGTAGAATCAATAAATCATTGGAACGATGAATCCTTACTTAATGATATTTCTCAATTTCTTCGTGGCATAGTGCTTGAATAGTACTGTCAACTATGTATCTTACATCAACGTCCAGAAAAATGGATAGATTTTTGTGATATTTTCCTGAATTAATTTAATTCACCAATACGACGCGCACGGCAAGAGCAACAATGGAAAAATTGTAAACAGGAAGAAAATGAAACAATTAATGAATTCGTTGTTCGACTTCGTGCCCGTTTGAATAGAGCAAAAACCACATGGAACAGAAGAAGATCTTGTACGACACCTGATATGCAAGATGCAAAATGATTTATTAACAATGATTGGAGTATCCAGATGTGAATCGTTAGGTGAAATTATTATAGAAGCACAGAAAATCGAGAGAAATCTTTTACCAACGAAACAAACAACAACATAATAATCTTAAGTAGGAACTACCTCGAAATAATACATCATCAACATCGATATACAACGACGGTGATCAATACGAGGTGCAAGCAATGTCCGTACATCAAACAAATCGAGGCTCTAACAATTAAATGCCACATCGACGGTATATATATCCAACACACAAAAAAAATGTTATACATGTGGCATGAAGGGCCATATAAGAAAAAACTATTCACGTCAACAAAATATGTATCAACAGCAACAATTATGGTACCACCCAAAAAACGACAGTGGAGCGCGAGGTGGATAGGACCACAGCACTCCAATGTAAATTATTCCGTCCAACTATCCGCCAAAATCTATACCGTTAATTTTCAGAACATACATCTCCTTATATTACTCGGAAGGATAGCAGGACGGCACACACAATTACTTATCGATTCTGAATGATCATTAACACTACTTAACTTTCATGTTTTCGTACAACTATCGCGATATTATCGCCAACAGGCACGCTTTCTTCTGCCTAATTTATTTTTTCAATTGGCGGATTGATCACAACTGCATATGAAATATGTACTGTCACTTTTGATTACTATCTCACAATCGACTCGTATACATATAGTTTATGTTGTTCCACAACTATGGCGTACATGCATCATTAGAAACGATCTTATTCGAAAACATAATCTTCAAATTGATGACGGTCGACAGCATGCATTCTTCAAAAGAAATCACATAGATATATTGAATGGACATAAAAAAGAAAAACTTAACAATGATGATCAATATATTCTCCTGACAAACGAACTGTAACGCTTCCGGTCGATTGAATTTCATGCATAATGTTCAACCTTCCTCTATCATTGATTCATATATTACATATATTGTATTCACCTTTCTATTCTTACGCTACTGTCATTACTCTATTGTTCTCTCATATCCATTCTTTCCTTGACCTCGTCTCTTTTCCTTTCATTCTCTCTTCTACTTTCGTATATAAGCGTGTGCTTTTTATGTAAACGATACGATTATATGATATGAAGGAATAGAATAAAGTGTAACTCCATCAGCACTAATATCCTTTCTATCAGAAATCGTCACATGAACGCATTGAAATTTTTCCTTTCCATGCATTTAACATTCAAGTTAGATTGAATAAACCATTTTCAATTATAGATGATGAAAGTGATCAAGATGAATACGAAATAGCATAGTTTAAAGAAATACCATGTGTAGCGAATGGATTTATCACATCTTGCGCACATATAATTCTGCAGGTGGCGAACCAATTATGGTTCATACAAATCAACCACTCGCCAAAATGACCTGTCTTAATGAAATCCCAATAGACATGATTCAACATTGCAATATATCTTCAACAGTTACATCAATGAAATCAACATCCGATAACGAACCAAATTTAAACAATACCGATTTAAATAAACTTCAGAAAGAAAAAAAATAAAACAATTCATCTAAACGTTCCCAGATGTTTTCAATGAAAAACCAATAAGAACAAGTAAATTAGGACATCAAACTAATCTTATATCTAATATACAACCGCTTAATTCACCACCATTTCGATGTGCACCTGCACGACGACAAATAATCGAAGAAAATGTAAAAGAAATGTTAGAACAAGGAATTATTTCACTATCAACAAGCCTATGGGCATCATCAGTCATTTTAGCGCCAAAAAAAAGATGTCAGCTTACGATTTTGTATCGATTATCGCAAGTTAAATTCCCTACCGATTCGCGATGCATATCTAATTCCACAAATAGATGATACATTAGACTCATTACAAGGTAAGTTCGTATCTACTCTTGATTTACGATCTGGCTATTCGCAAGTGGAAATGGATAAGAATTCACGGCAAAAAAACTGCATTCGTAATACATAAAGGTCTCGTTGAATTTAATATGATGCCATTCGAATTAGCTCACGCCCCAGCAACATTTCAACATTTAATAGACGTTGTGTTGGCTGATTTCAAATGGCAATGCTGCCTCGTATATATCGACGACGTTGTTATCTATTCACCTACATTCGAGTAAACATGTCATCAATTTAAAAACGGTATGTCAATCTTTAAGATCAGCAAATCTTATGTTGAACGCATTAAAATGCCATTTCTGTCGTCGTGAAATGCGTTATCTTGGGCATGTTATCAGTCAAAATGGCATTAAACCACATCCAGATTTAATCAAATCGGTAACACACTTTCCTCAACTAAAGTAATTCAAAGATGTGGGTATGAATATGGGTTTATAGAGTAGAAAGATGCACATCCATACCCACACCCCCAAAAATGACTTTTCTGAGTTCGTAGTTCGCGTTGAATTTTTTATCTCATAGAGCAACTTTTTGATGATAGAAACAAGATAGAGAGCTGCAATTTTCATCGTTCGAAAGAAGAGAGGACGATACTTAAAATCCTATACTATAAGCTTTTTTTTATCTGATCTTTTCGACGTTTTCAATCGACCTGTTTTATCGCAAAGCTAACCAGTAAAATATCTAGAGCGAATTTTGAAATTGTTAGGTGTGTATCCAAACTGTCAATGGAAGATCACCAAAACTGCACAATGTTCAGATGTTTAGAACTAATCATTCCAGAATTATAGGAATTCTGCTCAAAGTTCTAAGTGATTTTTGTAGCAATTTCTATGAAAAAAAAAATTTCATTACTGTTTCATTTTTTTTTTAAACATTTCCTTTAACACTAAGAAAATTGATGAAACAGACTGAAGACAGCACAGTAGGAAGCTTATAATGCACAATTCGATTTCTTTCTTCTCTCTTTCGAACGATGAAAATTACAGCTCTCTATCTTGTTTCTATCAAAAACTATTTACAAAATATCTACTCACGTCAGACTTGTTTTAAATAGGCATTAATAGAACCGTCGCATTTGATAGAAAAACAGATCTTATCGAAACTTTATTATTATAGTATTAGTTGAAGCATGATGAAATATCATAGAAAAACAGAACATTGTTTTTAATATCATTGTATATTAAAAAATGTTTCCACAAGCTTTTTATACGAAAATGAAGTAATGGCACCAGTATTTTTGGATTGCCCTATGTAGTTTTATCAATAGATCTAATTGATTACTAGGATTAGATAAATTAATTTGCGTTAATCAGTAATTTTATCAAGAGATTTAACTCTTCATTTGGAGTTGATAAATGAACTTATTTGTTGAACAAAATTTGGAAGAGAATTGTTGGTAGAGATTCAAATGAAATGTAAAGAGAAGTAAATGAATATTTATTGAATGGCATGTTTTTCTTGTTTTAGCAGTCAGATATTGTGTTCGACATGATTTGTATATTAACTGTGACTTTTACATGTTTTGCCGACGTGAAAAGAAGAGAAAACACTTTGGAGTTGCAAGTAATGGTCAATTCTACCCAATAAGATGGTTATTAAAGTTTTGTAATATAATTTGATGTTTCTTTTGCTGATTTTTCTTATTATATTCTTTTCTTTTCTTTTTTTAAAAGATATTAAACATGGTGCTCTTTTGGTTTGACTTATTTTTGAGTTGATTTGGTAATCAAGTTGAAAGAAAAGCCAATGTTTTTAATCATATAAAGGCAACATAAAGCAAAAGCTACATTTAAATCCAGAGATGCGTGAACACAAGTACAATTTATTTTTCTATGTATTAGACAGAGCGTTGAGTGAAATTGTGGAATTTTAAGTTCTACATCTATAGATATTGTTATGACAATGAGGATGAATAACCTATTTAGCATGATTAAATTAACATACAAATAAAGTAATCTTACTTAACCATTTGTATTAATAATAAAATGGCCTGTCAACATTAGTAAACCCATTAATAGAAACGGTTTAATGATGAATCTACGCTTAAGATTGACTTAGTATAAATTGTCCACTCGTAGTTGTCACATCTCATTTTTATGCAGTCATGTTTTTTGAAATCTTGTAATTTTCATTTATTTATCACGTTTATGGCATATACAAGTTGATTACATTATATTCGATAGCTATGCTTAGCTTTCTGTATTTGTGCAAAACTTCTGAGATTTATTATTATTCTTTGGTTCGATAGAGCATTGATCACTCTATGAAGTCATATAATTTTCATTTTATTTTTTTGACACTTTGATAAAAATATTGGTAAATTCCAAATATCTTCTGATAAGGATTTTTATATCCTACAATACAAGGGTTATTTCTTAGTTTTATTTTATTCGAGTAACTGCTATCTACTTGAATAATGAATTTTTTCTGTTTTTATACAAATGCATAAAACATTCGTTTTCTCCATCGACCTATATATTTCTCTTTTGACTTACTTCTTATCTTTACTGCAAATTTGATGATTTTTTAAAGTTTTTCCCAATCTTTTTCCACAGATTTCCTTCTGTT